TAAAATTGGGTAACAAGAGAAACAGAAATTAATAGATTAATCCATCCATCCATCCATCCATCCATCCATTTATTTATTTATTTGATTTATATCCGCCCATCTCCCCCTAATGGCGGACTCTGGGCAGCTCACAAGATCCATTAAAACAATAAATATATACAAAATTGCATAAAACATGAAAACTATACAAGCATTACCAAAAGAGAAGAAAACGTCCAAGAGGCTGATGGTTACCAGAGCTGCAGATGACAGGCCTCTAAGGGGCTAGCCATCCCCATGCTTGGTGTCTTCCCTCCCCACCCCAGGCCATGTGCAGAGCTAGGTCATCAGATCTCTCTGGAAGGCCAGGAGTGAAGGGGCCAATCTCACCTCTGGGGGCAAGATAAGCCAATATAGAAGGATAATAGCTTAGTTTTGAACCTCTCTCTCAACAACAAGCTAACAGAGCAAACTTAGGGGAAAATGTGGGGTCCATCTATGAATGAAGAGGTTCTTATATCCATGGATTCCATTCACATTTTTCCCATCTCAGTGCAACAGAAGTGATGGCAGTAGCTTCTTCTGCTTTCTTGTATCTTTGTAGATGCTCACCCTCAACACCTGGTGAAGAAGCTATATTTTTCTGATTGTTCAGTTCCTTTCCCCATAATCTTATCTCATCTCCATCCAGTTTTTTTTCATCCCCTTCCCTTCCCTGTGCAATTACCCCTTTCATTATGACAATCTCCATTCTGAGCTCTCTCCCCTCCACTTTTTCTTTCAAAGGAAAGAGGATAGTATTTATGAGTCTATGTAAAAGAGGGAGTACACATACAGTATATGTGCACTAATTGTGTGGGAGAATTGAACTGACATCTGCAATAATTTGCATTATGTCTTTGATAACTTTAATACATAAATAATATACTATAAAATGTTGTGAGTTATACAGTGGTACCTCGGGATACGAATGCTCCGTTCCGTGACTCTGGGTGTATCCCGAGTTGGTCGTAACCCGAAAAGTTCGTTAGTAGAAGCATTCGTATCCCGAGGTACCACTGTATAACTCACAACATTTTATAGTATATTATTTATGTATTAAAGTTATCAAAGACATAATGCAAATTATTGCAGATGTCAGTTCAATTCTCCCACACAATTAGTGCACATATACTGTATGTGTACTCCCTCTTTTAC